GTACTATAAAGGTATCGCCTCCTAAGTATCGCTATAAAAAGTTAAATAGTACTTTTTCCTCTAACTAATTATCTATAGGTACTATATACTACTGCTTGCCTTATATTAATACTTCCCCTAGGAGGGAATCGATTTATCCTAGGGTAATTTATTTCTTGATCCCTTATTATTAGTATTTAACTTCTTCTTAGTAGACTTAGTAGTCGTTATTTAAGGGAATAGTTTACTATATAGGTGATTGATTCGATTATTATAGAAGGTATAGCTTCTACTCTACCTTGCTTCTAGATAGTCAAATGACTAGTAACCTGCCTTTTTATATATAAAATAGAGCTTCTCCTTAAAGTAGCGCTCGAACTCCTCTTTACTAGGTGAGTTAGCTATAGTTATAATATAGCGAAGGTTATTATTGCTTTTAAGCTAGCCTCTATAGCCTTAGTTATTGCTCTATCCCTAGTATATACTATTTAGTCGTCCTATAGTTGTATTTCTACTACTTGCCTATAGAGCTATTATATACGTCTTTTCTTATTTCGCTTAGGTAGCTACTATAGCTTAGATATTTATGAAATCGACCTACTAAGCGAAGCAAGAGATCTTAGTATAGTCTATAGTATTATTAAGGAATTATACTATAAGAGTATTCTATAATATCAGAGTTAGATATTATTAGAATTTATCCTTCTATATTATATAAGGCTTATATAGTTCAGCTACTAGGTAGATAAAGGTATTCTAGAATACTTAATATAATATTAATATCTTATAGTAAGACTCTAAGTTAAATATATTTAGGGTATCTTACTTTATCTAAGCTTTCCTTTTATAGTTTAGGTCTCTATATTAGAGGTTAAAGTATTAAAAGATATCATCTATAGTAGCGAGTCGTTTAGGATTCTAGTACTCTAGGTAAAGTATAATATTCTTAGTAGGGATACTAACTATATAGCTAATAATATAGTTAATCTTAGATATCTCTAAAGAGAATTAATTAGTATTATTATATAATTAGTTCTAGACTTTCATCTTCTAGACCTTATAGGATACTCTATCTTACTTAGGGTTATTGAAGAACTTAGGGGTATTATCTACTTTAGTAGTTTATCGAACCTTTATACTTCCTTCTATAACCTAGGTATATAATGATAATAATAGTATTAGCTTGCAGCTTATAGAGTTAAGTATTAGGGTATATCCCTTAGTACTAGGCTCTAGCTATTAGTAATACTAGTAAGTTAAATCTATAATTAATTAATTATTTTCCTAGAGTTAGCTTTATAGATCTTAGATATACTTATTGTATTCAGATACTATAGTAAGTAACTCCTTAGATATATTAGTAGTAGGCTCCTTATAGGGGCTTTAAGAGTTCTTAGTACCCTCTAGAGTATTAATAGCCTTAATACTGAATTTCTTAGCTTACTCGTATATAAGATTAAGGTTATAGTCTAGTTCGATAGTAACCTAGTATAGTTTATAGACCTAGGTAATTAAGGCGCTTATTCTTAAGGAGTAGAGCTTATACTCCTAAAAGAATATATTAGAATTTTCAGCGAATCAGTTCTTAAAGGTAGGAAGGTCTATAGGGCTATCTATCTAGGGCTAAGCAGCCTTACTAGTATTAGTTAATAGTTTAAAGTAGTATATAGGTCCTTCTTCGTAGGAGCTATATAGGGCTACTAACTTCTCAACCTTTTTAGTGAAGTTATTACTAAAGTCCTTCTATAAGAAGGTATATTAAAACTACTTGAAGTTATCATCTAAAAGGCTATATAGGAAGTTAGTAAAGGTAGGATCTATCTTATATATATTCTTATAGTCTTCGATATTTCTATCTTTATCCTTATAGGGTAAAGTTATAGTATTTATAACCTTTTCGTTTAGGTCGATAATATAGTAGGTAGGTATAATACTCAATTATCATCGTAGTAGAGTCTTTAGTACTTTATCTTCTTATAGTAGAGAAGTAATAATATTAGCTAGGTTAAATCAGACCTCTTTTTTAGCCTTATCGACCTATTAGTCTTAGTCGTCTCGAGCTATTATAGTGAAGCTTATAGCTTTCGTTTATTAGGTTATAATAGTATATAATATCATCAAGTTACTTAGTGATTACGATTAGTATATAAAATCTTATATAGATATTATAAGCCTTCCTAGATTATAAGGTTTAATAATTTATAGAGAGCTAAAGTAATATTATAATATAAGGAAAGTAAAGAAGCAAAGCTATTAGTTTAGTATAATAGTAATTACTTTAGCTAAAGAGGAAGGAAGAAGGTTTATAGTATAGCTATAAGCCCTTAACCTTGAAGCTATATCTATAGGTAATAGCGAGGCTAGTAGTTCTATAACTCTAACCTTAGCTATAGAGCTATCTTATTATAATATATATAATAGATCTTAGTATAACTAATAAGAATATAAGATAATATAATATAAAACTAGTCTAGTTTAATACTACTATAGTAGTAGATAGTTATAAAGATTCTTAACTTATTATCTAAGAGATTATATAGTTTACTAGTCTATTTATTATTATTATCTTATACCTTTATAAAAGCTATAATCTTTTTTACTTCTAGTAGTCGATTAAGTACTAGATAAAAGAGAAGGGTTTTATATAGATTATACTAAGGGTCGAATAAGTATATTACCTCTAGTAGTATTATTCCTTACTACTAATTATATAGTATACCTACTGATTTATATTATAAAGGAAGTTAGTTATAGCTTAGCTATAGCTAAAATACTTAACTATATTATAAGTAAGGGTATTAAGCTTAATAGTTACCCTATTAAGAAGGAAGCTATACCTAAAAGTTTAGTATTACTATTAGTAGTAGAGCCTAAGGCTTATTTAATAGTATTATAAGTAGTAGTATAAACTATATTACTAGCTTTCTTAGGATCTCGAAAGTTACTACTAGTATAATAGTAAGCTATATATATAGCTATAGTAGTATTACTAATCTATAGAAGTTAGAAGAAGATATTTCTATACTTTTAGTTAGAATTAATAGCTATTCGAATTCTATAGTAGGAAGCAGCCTATCTAGATAGCTTTAGCTAAGCTATAATATAGCTACTAGGTTTAATATTACTAGTCTTAAAGGTCTTTCTTTTTCGATTTTAATCTTAATACTAGGAAGGAGCTTAGTCTTCTTCAACTCCTTTAAGGGCTATAGAGGGTATTCCTCCTTTATTAGGAGCTCTATAAGTTACTTTATAAAGTATTCTTAGTTTAGCCTAGTATAGATCCCTTACTCTTATAGGAAGGTCTTTAGTTCCTTCCTCTACTCTAAGTAAATCTTACTAAATATATCCTTAGTCTAATTCGTAAACTCTATATAGAATTTATCTAGTAAAGCTTCTCCTTCTAGCTTCTATTAGTAAAGGGTCTTAATAACCCTCACTATATATATAGTTAACTATTACTAGTTTAGATTATACTTATTAATAAGTATATACTAGCTTTCTAGATCGATTATAGCCTATCTATTATTACTTACTCTTATATTCTTATATATTTATATAACTTACCTTTTAGCTAGAGTCAAAGATACTTCGCTATAAGTATTACTATTAAGGTTATCCTCTACTATTATAGTACTAAAGGTAGCTATTATTATATAAAGTAGACTTTCGCTTTACTATATTTATCAACTAACTATTAGTTTATCTAGACTATTTACTTATAGGTAGTAATTACCTAGAATTACTATATAGTAGACTTACTTCTACTAGTCCTTATACTTATATTCTTCTTCTCTAGAGTATTTAGAGGTCGAAAAATATATATAAAGCTTATAGGAAGGTTTATAAGTTTATAGGAAGATTTATAAGTTTATAAGAAGGTTTATAGAACTATAAAGTTTACTATAAGAAGGTTTAAAGAAAGAAACTTATATAGATTCGAGGTTTCTAAGGGAGTTATTAGTAGAGTTTTAACTACTATAGGGAAGGTAGTAGGAGAAGAGTTATTACTACTATTTAAAGCAGAAAAAGTAAGGTTTATAAGGGTATTACTTTAAGAAGCAGCAAAGGTTTAATTTATATAATAGAGTATACTCTTAGGTTATAAGGTCCTTTCTAACTAAAGCGAACTATTACTAAGCTTTTTAAGTCCTTCTTAATAGAGCAAACTATTACTTTATTTCGAAGAGTTTCCTTTCGATAGCTATAAGTTAATCTCTACTATCGATAATAGCTATAAGCTATTATGCCTTCTATAAATAGCTTCAATTATAATATAGATCTTATCGCTTTAAGGGTGAAATTATAGCTATATACTAGTCTAAACTTACCTTTTCGATCAATAAGAGTAATTTGCTTCTTTTAATCCTAGTTATTAGAAATTACCTTTATAATTACTGATCAGTATTAGTTAGGCCTATTTATAATTATAGTTATAATGAGAAATAATCATAAGGTAGGTCCTTTTAGTTAATTATATCTAGTGAAGGAAGGAAGAAAAGAAGCTATCTATAGATTAGAAGCAAAGGCATAGAAAGGTAGGTAGGATTCTACTAGTCCTACCTAAGGCAGTATAGATTATACTGCCTTCTATATTAGGCCTACGCCTTCAACCTACTAGTTATTCTACAGTTTCACTACTAACAAGGCTTCTACTTCCCGCCGTTGACCCAGGGAAGAATAGTGTGAAATGATTAGCTAGTAGGCCAAGCGAGAATCTGCCGGACATATTGTTAGTGATCCCACGGCCTCTCCCGCACGATCTAGAGGATTCCTAGGTCCAAGGCGATCCTTCAGGGGCACGTTTGACCAGAGGGCAGTGCGTTGCGACTGGACTGCGCGTTGACCCTCCAGGACTTATCTAAGATCTTTGCAAGCATTGGCGTTATTTTAAAGGGCTTCCCTGCTCACGGTAGTTCGCCGGCGCTGACGATCACACTTCTCGCGTATCGCTGACTGGGGCGATAGCCGTAAGGCTTATAATTATGGGACCAAAAAACATACTGGACAAAAAAAGAACTTTCGGGTCTGGCCGGGGATTGAACCCGCTGTGATGTTGTTAGAATTGATTGACTTGCAAGTTGAAATTTGAATGTATGATAGTACTTACGGACCTCGCGCAATTTACTCAGGGTAATCCCTAAGCGCGAATCATACCACTAGACCACCAGACCTGGGAAGAACTCGGGCTTCCGTGTCCTCGGCTCTGAGGAACGTCCTTACAATATCGGTACCTGGGGGCTATCGATCCTCTTTGCCTTCACTACCAGAGGCCGTCGGTCCCGTCCCACGCACTTTCGCAATCGGGGAGGAAGAGGAGGCCAATTATACTAAAGGTCAAAATATAAGGTTGTATGATCTGTTACACATATAGCAAAGATCTGTCGGCTGACATCAAAATCGGTTACAGTTACCTAAGCTTGCATCCTAAAGTAATTTACACGCGTGGTTTCACCTGGATCATCATATATAGAGCTCCTGATAGATGTGACCGCCCAAGACGATATTATTAACACAATGCTATTATAAAGAAGCCGTACGCTGCCCAGATGTGTGCCACTAGAACGCTTATAACCGTTATAATTATGAAATAGTTGCGAAGGCCCTCGCCTAGTGGAATTAGGCACGTTGAATCAATTAGACTGATTTGATTGATTATGGAGCACGAGAAAGGCTTTGTAAAACGGTCGTCTGAACGGCTATATCTAAGGCCATTTGGGTGCCGGGATACGGAAGAATTATGCCCGTGCTTTGAGAACCACACTACCTACTATACCACCTGCTTCAACAAGATCCATGATAGTAATTAGAGCCCAATAGTACTACCTAATTACACCTGCAAAATGGACACCTCGCAAGACCAGACCCAAGGGCTTGTATATACCAGAAAGACCTCCAAGCGCACCTAACTGGCATGATGCTTGCTTCACTCCAGCCTAACAGCAGTAACCTGGAAGGTCACTGATATCCGTGCCCAAAATACCCCACGGAGGATTGCAACCATCCTCATCAGTGTTGAACTCATAGAACCAGCCTGAAACCTCTAGATTAACCTTGCAAACTCCTAGAGGAGGGTATGACATGGGCGAGTATTAACGTACCGTTGGCACATTCGCAGACTGCATAGTCAACACAGCAGTCAGGATCCTCGCTAGTACCCAGATTCCTTGTCAGCCAACGATGGGTCCTTGAAGCAGGCCGGATTACAGTTGTTTACTGACTGGAAATAGCATCCACTGGCTCCGTCTATTACTTCGCGCTTGACTGCCTCGGCAGAAGTAGGCTCAGGGACAGCCAAAGCAGATATAGTCAGGACGGCAAAAACAGCCAGAGTATGAAAGGTCTTCATGGTGTTATGCTGTGCAGTGACAGGATAGAGCAAGTGCGTAATATTTGCTGTATGTGTAATAAAAGGGCAAAGGTTGCAATCTGTGCTGCTTTGAGTTTGGAATGATGAGTTCTGGAAGGTTGATGAGTTGAACTTTGAGTCCACTTGAGCAAGGACAAGAGCCTTGGTCTTATAGTTCTGTCTTACTCAGTATTGATTTGTGTTGGCAAGCTTAGGGAAGCATATGAGCAGCCTCAACAGCCTGATGGTCGAATGACTTCTGACGCCGCTCAAGTGAACCAACGTGGCACAATCGGTATTCCTGGATCCAGTCAGTCCTCCTGCTGAGGATATGGTCTGACATTGCAAAGACTTGGGACTATGGAATAGCCAACATCCGCCAAGCCGCTCCAGGAGAATCTGCCCTTATCCGTCTTGCTTTACATACACACACCGGGCCGACTAATCTGGACTGCATCAAACCACCATCCTCATCATTGTCCCTGTCCCAAGCTCGGGAGATATCCGGCCTTATCACAAGAGCACTACATCAGACAATGGCCACGAAGAGGACCATGCTCAGGTAGGGATGAGATTGTGATATGTGATGGAATGAGAATGTTTCCGGACGTTCAGACCTGGGCAGTATTACGTTTGTTGTACCATTCAGCAGGCCCGCTATAGGAAGGATCGCGCGGCATATACTAATTCCCAATGGACTGAACCCACGCCAGATGTGACACTACCAATTTCTGGATCCTATCTTGATGCTCCACCCTGGAACGTGTAAGTACATGTCTAATCCTACTCGGGAACCACCCGGGTGAAGTCCTGCTCCCGAAGATGGTCCAAAGAGTGGAGGCTTCTTCAATATCACCTTTCATTTCACAATCATCATTTTGCGCAGACTAGACAGAAGCAATCGACCAACCAAGGAGATATACATTTACCTATAGTTGCAAAGCATGTATTTTAGATTACTTGTCAAAATGGCGGTCTACTTAGTTTACAGTTAAAGGCTAATAGCTGAAACTCAGGGCCTGGTGCTCACTTGAGTAAACAACAATCTCGGGAACCAAGAAAGCAGTTGCAGTACCTCCTCTGTCCACATGGAGGGATATAAAAAGTGCGGAGCCTTTGGAAATGCTATATATCTTCCTTTTATGGGCCCCCTGCAGGAAGGACTCGGACCGTTGCTGACTGCATATAGATAGGATGATTACTAGCCTGACCTCGCATCATGTTCTTCCAAGGTCTTGATCCCCGGACCGACACTAATGAGTCGAAACTCTTCTCCGGTTATCTTGAAGCTATCTCGTGGTCATGGGAAAATTTGAACTGGCAAGGCTAAGACCAGGAAGAGACCGGGGTCTTTCCTTGTCCCTCAAATCAGCACTTGATAAACTTCCAGCTCGTCTCTCAGCTCTCCTTCTCGTATCGGTACTCGACCGACTGGCTTATGATCCAGTCGCCACTTCATCTTTCTACCTCAGCTCTCCGGGCCGGATTGATAACACTGTTCCTGCTGACAGCATATCTCAGCTGCCATGTGGGATAACCACTTCCGAGTAGAGGGGCGCATGGCACTGACCTCCAGCTGGCTGATTGTCCAGCAGGCGGAAATAGTGCCCACCTGACTGGAATCTCGCTGCTGCTTCACATAACGTTTCAAGCCTCTGGTTACTTCGAAAATATCTGTGCATGGGTGGCAGATCACGATTTCGACAACCCTCTCAACGCTGCCACTGGTGAAAGTGGTGCCCTGCTGTTGATGTTTTCTATCTGGAGACAACACTTTGTGGATTTCACTTTGGCTAACAAAGCCTGCAGAAGGGGATTCCACTCAATGTCAAGACGGATGTATCAATATAGGGTGGCCATGGCATCCTGATAGAGTCTCAAGGGCCCACGTGGCTATACCGTACAGCAGCTGCACATTCACAAAAGTCCCAGTCCCAGCTTCTCAACGCATCCAATGTCTTGCTTGGTCATATGCAGACAGAGACACCATACTACCAGCCAAGCCCGGTGGCTACAGAGCCTTTCACCGTTGGCCATTTCCTATCAGACCCAACTTTCGAACGATGACTACTGCAAAGTAGCATGGGCTCTACGTGCGCTCAACTCCAGCAACGTCTATATTTACCCGGCGGGCTTCTATTCCTTCTTTTATGATTATGATCTCAGCTGTACTGACGAGGAGAGTTGTCAGCTTGCCCTGGTCGAAACTAATCACGCTTACGAGCTATGGACATACGACATCTTCACCAAAGGCAACGTCCAGATTGTGAGTCCTGAGGCGGCAAGATACCTGTCCATTTGTTCCCCGGAAACCGGTCAATCCTTATCGGGTAAAACGTAGGTTTAATAGCTATATTAGCAAAGTGTTTTAGATAATATTTTCCGGTTCAAATTGAAACTTCCTCTGGTTCTAAAAAGATGAACATGATAAACTAGAGCCACACACTTCGTATTGTTAATGGATGGGATTGAGGTTGAGGGTTTTGGTATCGTAAGGGGGCGGTTGTGGGGTGACCGGCTCTTTCTCAAGGCACGCGGGACCGATCCGGGTAGATTACTATGCACACGCCTCTCCCCATCGTTGCTACACACTATGCTTTAGCACTGACAGAGCTCCGCTTCATAAGACTGGGCACCTTGACTAACAGACGGATCTGTAATACCTAGGCATGTGTATAAGCGTCCTAGTCCGTTTACGAAGGCGCTATTTTGTCACCCAGTGGAACCAACTCTGTCTGTCAGCATCTCCTAATCATGACTATGACTAGCACTGATTCGCCGCCGAAAAGGGGGTTTTACAAAGGCCATGCCTAGGTGCCCGTATATAAATCTGGACTGGTGTCCTTAGTAAATCATCACCAAGAATTATGATAGCATTTGAACCCTAAGGCATTCTTCCTCGCTTGAGTTGTCGTCCGGTCGTGTATATGAAGCTTCTCATCCTCCTCTTCTCAATCTTAGTGGCTTCGCTGTCGTTCGTCGTCTACAATTCAGCAACACTCAAACCGTTACTCGACGAGTACACGTCAGTTGACATCATTGGATTTATTTCAAAGATTTCCCACGGCTCAGTCCCAGACAATTCAGTTACAGAGGACGTCCCCCAGTCTATGAACAATTTCAAGTCCGCCATGTCTAGAACGCTCCACCACGCCAAAATCACGCCGCATAAGTCGAGCACCAGGGGTCATAGCGACCATGGCTGGCTCAACACTTACCACAGCTTCAGCTTTGCAGACTGTATGTCCTCGTCGATCATCATACCTTGTCTTCATCGGATTATAAGTACTCACTTTCGCCAGGGTACAACCCCAACTTCACTCATTTCGGCTCGCTCCGCGTCCTCAATGAAGACCGAGTGAAGGCCCAAAGTGGCTTTCCGACGCACCCACACAGAGACTTTGAGATATTCAGCTACGTCCTCTCTGGAGAGCTCACTCACCGGGACTCGATGCTGCGAAAGGGCGCCGAGGGAGGACAGTCAGACAAGTTCTATAAGATGCGCCGCGGAGACGTCCAGTTCACCACCGGCGGCACTGGCATAGCGCACAGCGAGTTCAACGAGCACAACTCGGAGACAGTGCACTTCTTGCAGATCTGGGCCATCCCCTGGAAGCGCGGACTCAAGCCGCGTTACCACACAAGGAACTTTCCTGATGAGGAGAAGAGGAAGGCGTTCGTGCCCATCCTGAGTCCGCTGGAGGCGGGTGAGGATGCGAGCAGCGCGGAGGAGGAGGCGGCGAAGCCCACTATCGAGAGTACCATCCCCATACATGCTGACTTCGTCATGTCTGCCGGGCTTATCGCCCCGGAGCAGAAGTTTGA